TAAACATTTGCATATCATATGGACGAATTTATTGGTGATATTTTAGAAAGTACAAAATATCTTCAAAACGCGAACTAACTAAGCTTTCTTATTGTCATTTTCGAATTTAGCGGACGAAAATACATAAGAATTGATTAGTTTCATTTCCGATATATACAACTCATTAAAATTTATTGTCTAGTGTAATAACTAGGATATAAGGATGTGGACTGAGTTAATTTGGATCAGGACAGAGTCCTGTGTAGGTCTTTCATTAACACAGTAATAAACCTTCAGATTCTATAAACATTGTCGAATTTCTTGAATAGTTGACCCACTCTCGGATTCTATGGGGTTAGCAGTAAATAACTTCAGTAGTTGGTTCATGTACCTATATTTGTGTGTTGCAGGCGCAGATTTAGTGCATACAGTGTTGCATTAGTGTGCTCAGTGTGTTTGTTGATGCTGATTGTCAGCCATCGGCTAGTCAGTTCAACAGCTCTAGACCGGGCTCCTTTCCTTGACATCAGCAGGACATTTCAAGTAAGTATGAGTAGTGAGGACATAAAAATAGATTAAACGTGGAAAGAATGAATCTAAAATGATCTTACAAAAATATTATTACTTTTAAAAGTTGTCAGTGGAACCACGGTTCCGGAGAATTTGACGTAAATACGTCTTTACGGAAAGGAAGTTTATTTATTGGTTTTATTCTAAATATTTCCTTTAAGGTAAAGCTAGCAGAGATTGCGCGGTAGGAGAGTTTGCGCATGTCTAAATTCAGGTGGAAGGGGGTAAGTTGTGCGTACAACAGCGTGAGGAGCAGTAAGCACACCACTCGTAGAGGCTTCAGTGAAATTTACATGTCGATGTAAGCTGTTCTCTGTGTTTTATTGCCAATTTTCTGCTTGTTCTGTAGAAGGTGAGGGCTTGAAGTTTCTGGAATGTTTCGTATATTTACATAAGAAATGTTTCACCTCTAAATAATTGCAAATAAAGTATTTTCTAAGTTAGTTCTTTGTTGAGACTAGTGTTTCATGCTGTTGCGAGTCACTGTGGAAATTTTCATGCCGATCACGTGGGTGCGCAATCTTCCCTACCCAATGAGTATAGTTGGCGCTTGCGCTAGATAGGAGAGTTTGCGCAGGATTTTCATTTGTTTCAATGGGAGGAGAGATTAAAATAAACTTGTTCACTCAATTAATTGCAAAATCAAACAAAAATGAAGTATGTTCTTTGTGTTTTCATCCTATCTACTGCCTTTAACTGTATTTTACATAAGTTAAGGAATAAAATAGCATAAAATGATACATGCAATTCCTAGTTTGTTTTCGGAGCTGTTTTTCTAGCGCACAGTATTACTAATTATTTTTTTGGCATTTCTCCTTATAGGTCATAATGCCAAACGTTTATGTGAGAAAGTCTAATAAAGGGTCTTGGTCAGAGGGGGATTTGCGACGAGCTATAGAAGCTATAAAAAATGACTCTCTCACCATACGCGCTGCAAGTAGAAAATTCAATATTCCTGAATCCACCTTGAGAATTAGGCTAAAGGGAAATGTTTTTGGAAAGCCTGCTTTGGGTCCAGATTCGCAACTAGGTGTCGATACGGAAAAGAAATTAGCCCATCTCTGTCGGACTGAGTCCACCATGTACCTCTCAGAACATATTTTGCCATATTTAGCACAGTTTCCTCCGTTTTATGCAAGTTAAAAAAAATCAAAACAGTTCATAATAGTAGTTGAATTTATACAGCTTAGTGGTATTTAAATAGACTTGCAGAGAGCTGTAGTAGTATTTAAAAGGGACCGCAAAGGGTTAATATTAGTAATTAAGTACGTTTGTTGTTTGATTCAGTTTTTTTGTTTGATTAAGTGTGTTTCTTCTCCTGACTTACAATAGGCCGACTTAACTTTCCTAAAATTACGAAGAATAATATGTGTGCTTTTGAGTATAAACAGTCGGATACAATTATCTATTTATTTTTTGTAATAATAAAACAATTTCTTTTCTTATTAACATTACTATTCATTTTCTGTAATAATAAAGCTTCTAATTCATTTTATAATAACAATTTCTAATAAAGTTTGATCGAAATAAGTAATTCAAACCATAAACCATCTCACCTACCCATTTGCGCAATCTCACCTACCCGGTTAGGAGAGATTGCGTAAAATCGAATGTCTGAAAAAACTGCATTATCTTATCAAAAATTGAAAAAACAATCGGAATATTGTTCATTAAATATGCCTAACATACCAAAGAACATATGTGTACACTTATTTACGAAAATAGATAAACATTCGATTTTTAGTGATTTTTTCCCGAATTGTGCTCAATCTCTACTCGCTTTACCTTATACATCCTTTACAATCGAGATAAGTTTGATTAAGACATTGCTTATTTAACTTGAATTAGTTACGCTTAAGATGGGTCTGTGGTAGCTGAATGTAATGTAAGGTAATGTAAGGTAAGGTAAGGTAAGGTAATGTAAGGTAACGTAATGTAATGTAAGGTAATGTAAAGTAATTTAATGTAAGGTAACGTAATGTAATGTAAGGTAATGTAAAGTAATTTAATGTAAGGTAACGTAATGTAATGTAAGGTAATGTAATGTAAGGTAACGTAATGTAATGTAAGGTAATGTAATGTAATGTTTTATAGGTAACAACAATGCCGAGTAAACACGACGTTCCCTAGGTACACTTGTTACACTTTTTCG